GGCTTACAATGACAATTGGGTTTTGGAATTTTTATAATCTAATGAACCTTAACAAAACTCGGCAATTTAAGTATCATAATTTTTTCGTGGCTTAAGAACGGCTGAGATGCGTCGAGCCAAAATGAAATTAGAATATATAGCCTGACTCTTCTGTTGTAAAATAGTAACTAGCTGCTCCTGACGAGGCTGCACAGTGCCTTAATGACCCTGAAGTTCAGCAAGAAGCTTGCGTTTCAGGAGACCATCGCTCGCAGCCATATGGAAGAGAGCGCTTACCAACAGGGTGCTTGGCATTAGAACAGCAATCTGGCCGTATTAAGTGGTGAAGTGGCTGACGTGAAAGTGAGCATGCATCCTGGCAGCAGCGAGGTTCAACTGGATTCAACAGAGGGACAGTGGCTGGAATGGTGACTATGCAAAGGATAGTGCACGCACTGAAGCTGGAGACGCACAAATGAATCTTGTCGTCTTGCGTTTTCGTGTTAGGAAGAGAATGAGGCCAGCGACAAATAAGAACCACCTTCTCACAGGAACAAATCAATCCTACTCTTACACAACAGCTTAATAGCCTCCGGATAGGCTTAGCCGTACGAATAAAAGTGATTAAAAGCCGATGTGTGAATTGTTAAGTGAGTCATCTACTTTATAAACCGTCTAGTAGTAAGGCACACGCATATTTAAACAAAACGAGGCCATATAAAACGTTTGATTGAGTAAACTGAGTGATACGGGATCACCTTTTTCTAACACTGTGAGCTAATTCTTTGATATGCTTTTACGATAAAGATAATAGAGATATGGTAATATTTCCATCGCAGTATTAGAGCAAGCAGAAGAGACGATTAAGCATAGAAAACAAGTATTCAAGATCATAATTATTTGTAGAAGATTGAAAGGAATATCACACAATAGAGAAAATGGCGACACAAAAGTTAAGGGGAATTGAAATAAAGGCGATAAAAAGGCCCGAATTTAGCATCGCTGGGGACTGGGGTGGCTTTGCGACATTTGTTGACAAAGCACATTACAATATTTGGGATATATGGAAATGGTAAATAAAACGACCCTGGAATGCGAACAGAAATATGATACAATTGAGTAGGTGTAAGAGATTTTTCGTTGCGAGTAGGATTACGAGGCAGCTCATATAGGTGTAAGAAAGTTACCAATTAAAGAACAAAAAACGAGTGTAGTGAAAGAAAAAAAATGTTGATTAGTTGAAATTCTACAAAAGTTAACAAATGTCAAAAAAAACAAAATCACAAAAGCCAGAGCTAGAAACTTCGTCTTATACTTTGTTCACAATAACTAAAAACGCTCAAAACCTGAAGTAAGCATTATACTTTGATGAAGATTTAAGGATACACAAATGCTAAAATGAAGATAAAAAACCAAAGTATTACAATCACTTGGCATCGGTGAACTCGAGTGATATAAACGTATTAAAAAGATGCAACTTTAAATGTATGCATGTGCGCATTAGTGTGGGGATGTCTGACTTTCCAGGTTCAAGTAAATCCGCAGGCTCGCGGAAACAGAAACAGCGCAATGTGTAACAAAATTAAGACTATTGTAAAAGCTCTTGTAGTATTGCCGAAAGCAGAAAAAACGTGAAAAATCAGTTGTCATAAACTAAATCACCAAAAGGATGTGGGGATGGAGTATTTCAGAGTAATTCGTTTGGTTGGTTATGCACCTTTCCTTCTAGACATCGGCACTAGAAAAAAAGAAGATTTGTAAAGCCGCAACCCACAAGTAGTTCATGAAATTTATTCCGTGATTACTATGAGCTTAAGCATGCAAGGGATCTTTTACAATAGTTCATTTAGTATATCGGCATCTGAGGAGCACGAGCTTATTGAATGCAGACTAGGCAGTAAAAGGTCGTTTGGAATAATCAGCAAAGATCGTTTGGCTGTTCTCATACTGCGATCTTGTTCAGATGAAAGTGAAGTTCTGATAATTTGATTTTCTGATGTGGCTTCGAGCTGTGCAGTCGTAGTTTGGCCGGGAGCCGGCTTCTCTAAAGTCGACTGACTGACATCAAAATCGCGTTTCATATTGTCCACCCAGGTCCGGTTAGTGGCGGGACATAGGCTCTTTAGCAGTCGCTGGCCTGAAGTGGCTAGAGCAGAAATATTCGGCGTCTGCTGTTGTTGCTGTAGGCGCAAAAGGTTACTAGCATGGGAATCTGGTGGCCAGTTTTTGCCAGAGGGCAGATAAGCGGGAACTAGTCGATCTGTGGCATGAGTGGACGTACGCGCCTGGCCTCTTTGACGAAATTGGCTCAAGCTGGGCTGGCTAGAGACAAGTGGCGAATGCTTAACCACAAGAGCCGGTGAATATGAAGCCCGGAATCCTGGACCGCCAGGAATCGAGTTATTCTCAGCCAATAGGACTTCGTCGGGCAGATGAAGTACACTCATCACACGATCGAGATCCTCTGAGATGCGATGCAACGAATGCATAATTTCGACAGGTGCAGTATTCTCCTCTTTTACAGGTTGGTTGGCTTCGAAACAAGCCAGGTTGCCTGACACAGAGGTGGTACGCTTATTGGTCAGCGGAGTAAGCGAACGGGGTCGGCGTGATTTGCTGCAACGCCGAGGATGGAATGCCTGAGTATAGCCTAAACCTTGGCCAAAGAAGGTGGAGTCACGCTCGTATTGAGAAACCTTATCAACCAGCGAGATGGGGTTATGGGAGCCGGAGGTGAGCTGTCCAAGCGACATCGGTTCAAACATACTAACCGGACGACAAGGCACTGGATGGTTAAGCCGAGCTTCTCGTCCGTTCAAGCCGTCCGGCTCTGCCGAAGGCATGGCTGCGTTCCGAAATGCCGTGGACCCTCGTCTACGGAGTCCAGACATGCTGATGTTACTGCCCGTGTTGCTAAGATACGATGATTTGACTTTAGAACGTTTTCTGTCTCCCTGGAAGCAATATCCAGAGGCAAATAGAGGCAGGCTGGGTATAAGACCATCTGTCTCTTCGGCTTCCGCTTCGTCTCCACTACTCGTCTCGAGCCGTTTCCAGGTTTTAGCCAACCATGGGCCTTCACTACCTACGACGTCGCGACTGCTAGAGTTCATTAGCATGTAGTCGGGTTCCTCCGAGGACAATGGAAGTGATCGCCTATTATGATTGTATCTAGCAGCTAGCCTTCGCCGTTGAACGGACAATTTGGCATCCATGCCATTGGCCATTGGATTCAGCTCATATAAACCGGATGGACGCTGTTGGGCAGAGAGATCGGACTTACCTTTGGTTGCCGGCTTCAAGTCAAGCTGTTTAGCCAACTCACGCCAGGCTTCAACTTCATCACGAGACTCAGCAAGTTGTCTTTTGGTGGCTAAAAGTTCATCACGGCAAGAATTCAACTCGCTAGCCAGTTGACCGACTAGGTCAATCTCGGTAATCTCCTTTTCCTTCAGGCAATCAGGCAAGGCACGTTGTAGCGCCTGCAGCGTTGCTGTTTGGCGTTTCATGTTGCGGGCGACCTCCTGTGACTGGATGGTTCGCAGTTCAGTCATCTTGATCTCGTGTTCTTGTAATGAATCGTTAAGCCGGCGAGAAAATTCCAACTGAAGCTCGGCTAATCGGTGGTCACATTGCACACGCCAAAGCTGTTCAGAGGCCAAGAGTCTGGCTTGAGAGTTGACGAAAGCCGTGTTGGAGCCAGTATTCGGCGGACCCGAGACAACTGTCGCCAGCACAGGCGTGTTGGTAGTTGAAAGGGAAGATGAAGAGGAGGCATGTCGAGCACTCTGTTGCTCTTGCTGAGACTGATTCTGCTCGGCGATAGCAATCTGATTTCTGATCTGCACTCGAATCACGTCAATGTCAGACTCCATGTCGGCTGAGTTGATCCATGTTCCCGTTCGGCCCTCTTGAACAGACATCTCAACCTCGGGTGAATCAGACAAGATGTCGATGTCAGCAGAAAAGTCACTATCCAGTAAGCCATCTGGGGTATCTGGCCGAGGCAATAAATCTATGGCCTTGTGGCAATTAATTTTTTGCAGACTGGTCGTGTCCTGCGAGGCTAGAAGGACTCCAGGACGCTCTTCAGACTTATTCTGCCATTTACCAGAATTCTGGTGTTGTGTTAAGCTGCCGCGACCATCAGAGCCGATATCTGTTCGATTTGATGCTGGTTGTGTGGCAGGCGAAAGAGGTAGCTTAGAAGACTTCGAGTTGGGAGAAACAACGCGGCGATGAGGTAGAAAGATCTCCTGCTCTTGTGAATCGTCATCTATTTCTTCAGATTCATAATCCAGGACTACGGATTCGGATTTTATGGACACTTGACGGCTTGGTGTAGGGTTAGATAAATGGGGATGGTTAGGTGCGTCGTTAACTCGTTCAGACTCATGTACTTCAAAGTTGTCTGGTTTAGAACTATTGTAAATTATATAAGGAGAAACCTCAAGTTTTTCACACTCAACTGGACTGCTATCATGGCTTGATGGTCTGGCCATCTCCGGGGTTTGTTTAGTTGTTTTATTCAAGGAGCTGGCCTTCTGTATTATAGGATTACCCGAGATTAACGTAGAGTTCAAATTCTGCTGA